CTCAGATACCACCCAAAAACATCATGGGGACAACAAAGATAATGAACATCCTCAGACTGCACAGTCACACCAAAGAAGAACAACTCTCTAAAAGTAGAGAATATTGGAACTTTAATATAAACTGAGGATTATTTTGTTTATTTTTATTAGAATAATAGGAAGTTGTTATTTTTAATATCTAATCTATGTCAACATCTCCTTTGGTGAACTTCCATGCCAGTATTGCATTAAGTGCAGCTTTCCTGTTTAGCAATCTCTTGCAAGTTAACTAAATGCCTTGCAAAAATCATTTCAAAAGTAGCTTGCAAAGTATTAAAGACAAAAGATAAGCATTAAACAGATGACATCTTCTACAAATCCATTGTAATCCGCTGGTTAGGGTTTTATATTTCTGATGATAAATTATTCAAGTTCTTTTATGATCAAGATTAAACATTAGGATTAGTACTCTCTGTTACGGATCACATCTATTTTCTTTATTTGTCCCAACCCATGTTAGCAAAGCAAACAGCTTTGAGGAATGGCTGCCAGAGAGATGCCAATGCACACCACTCCATCCTTCAGCATCAGCACCACGCTTCAGGAGGAGGCTGCCCCACACCAGCACGCCTGCCACATCTCCACAGTGCACTGAGCGCAGTGCCTCTTCCAGCTCCCTCCCTGGCAGCTGTTTAACCTTTTTCACACGAGAGAGTGTGTGCCTGCAGCAAGACCTCGCACAGCCCCAGAAAGGAAAGCACTGCCATCTATCAGGTCTGAATCGGACCCTCATACAATTGGCTTTAAGGTCCAAAAGATATCTATGAGATCTGTCTACACAATCTCCTTTTCTGATTACATGTACGGGATGAAAGTGACAAGTGATGCTGCCAGCCCTTGAGAGGTCAAACAGGGAAACGGGTTTGGATTGACATGAGAGTTCTAACTCCGGCCGACACCACTGTTCTTCTCAGTCACAGTAAAAACACCTGGACATGGAAGTCCCTGAGCCCAGCTGTTGCCATTCCCATACAGAGCCCACATGCAGTTTTTTCCAAAAGTGACCCAGCACTCAGACAAAAGCAGGCAGCATTCAGCTGCAGGAGATGGGAAACTGGTTAGCAAAACGCAGCACCACTGTTCTTGCTGCAGATGAGTTTTGTACTTCCACACCTGAGGCTTGCTCTCCACATGAGTTACTGAATCTGCACCTATTCTTCTAAGGACAGATTGAAGTAACCAGGCTCGTTGTCATAAACATAGAGAAATGCTAGCAATAACAGCCAACATTCAAATAGCTTCTAAATCCTATGTTTTGCAATCTAAAACCACTGACACACTTCTGTTATGCAGGCATCATCTCCAAGAAGGTGGAGGGGCTGAATCCACAGCTTCCAGATGCCTAACATAGACCGCCCAGGACAACAGCTGTGACAGAAAATGAGTGGTCAGTGGTAAGACACACAGGTGGCCCCATACTGGGCAGCTCACAGAACAAAACACAGGCATTGCCAGTTGGCTGAGCACATGCCAGTGTTGCAATGCCAGGCATCAGCCTGAGTTTCTGTTCTTCCCCTATAAGCAGCCTGGTGCTCCCCCGGCAGCTCAGCAGCACTCTGTCCCACTGCATGGAGCCTCTGCATGCAGCATTAAGGAGGCAGCACCAACTGCAATCCCTCTGAGCTTCTGATGGAGCTTTTAGTGGGTTACCAAGAGCTTCTGAGAAGAGCTGATGAGCGTTACTGATATCTGATCCACCACATTCAATCTGAAAAAAAATGAAGATGTAGCTAAAAGGAAGAGACTTGGCTCTGTTATCAGTGAGCCAGCAGCTACTCCATCTCTGCCTGGGGCAGCATCATGCACCTTCTCCTTCTTTGACACTGGTGACTTCGTAACTAGACGTGAAAACATGGTTCACTGAGAAAGGTCTGACAGATGTCAAAAACAGCACAAACCAAGGCAAAAGCTGTGCAATCTGCTTCCCATGAGGTCCCTTCACCTCCACCCTTCTCTTTCTCTGGTTTTATTCCTCAAAAAGCACAGTAAAAATCCCAACTGTTCTCAGATTGTGCAGCAGAAAACAACATCAGAGCATGGAGCAGAGGAACTGTAGCTCTATTTTAGAGGATAATACATAAGGGCCACAGGAGGTTCAAACAGCTCAGCTGAGCAGTACAGACAGCAGCATTCAAGCAGGCTGCACAACCACAGGCTGCATGCTAATGCCCAACCTGCTCTGGCAGCTCATGCCTCTAAGATCCCTGAACCACTGCCTCACAAGTACAGAGAGAATCAGCTTGTGTTTCTGTGAGGTCTGAGATCCTACAATGCACCAAACACACCAGTATGCTGACACATGCTATCTTGACAAAACTCACAACTCAGAGCTCAGCAGATTCCAAGTCACTCTCATAAAGTTAGCAGCCTCTGAAACTTCAGCATAAGTTACGCTTGGCATTCTTTAGAACCGTAGCAGCCAACCACAAGCAACTTGCAGGATTTCTATTTATCACATTGTTTATAACAATTTTGAAATTTTCACTGAATGATTCTTTCTGTAAGAAACCACCTCCTCTAATCTAAGAAGCTTTTCATCAAACCCCACACAACCCCACTAAGACAGTCCAGTCTTGATCTTGCAGAAAGCAATGGTACCAGAAGGGCTGGTTTAGCCACTATAGGTTTGATCCAGCAGCAGTTCCCCCCATTTTCAGAGTGAAAGCAGCACAGGGCAGAAACACACCACTGGTAAGGGCAGAAACACACCACTGGTAAGGGCAGAAACACACCACTGGTAAGGGCAGTGTGCAGCACAGTGCAGTGCACGTGCCCTGAGCGTGCAGCAGGGATGCAGACAGGAGGCTCCTCTTAACTGGGAAATGGTTCCAGTATGCACACATTGCACGTATTAAGCTCCAGTTCAAAGTGTACATTATAAATACTTCAAGATTTAAAATTGTATTTCATGGTTTTAAATAAAGAACTAAATATGGATCTTAATGATTCTCAAACAGCCCTAAGCAAGGAAGACAGAACATTTTGATACTCAAAGGCATGCCACTATGGTTTTATTCATCATAAATAAAAATAAAGCTGATGATTGTCTTTGCACATGACATTAAACCTCTAACCAATGTTGATTCTACCAATTAGCAATCCAAATAATACTATGTAATATCAAGAGGACACCCTACTGGTTCATTAAAGCAAAACTAAATCTATTTCTATCATTTTTATCCACTCTAAGTAGGGCAGGAAACCACTTGCAACAGTTCATATGGAAATTATTTATAGCTTTTCAAGCTCAAGTAAAAATGGGTCAGTTCAGAAGCGATTCATCCATCTATAACAAAGACATGAAGCAGGGCTCTAGTACAGTTAAGCAAGGCCTGAGTCTCTAAAGGAGCTTGAATGGTATAGACCCAGGAGAACCTCTCAAAATCCATTCCATTTGGAAACACATCTCCCTGTGCTGTTAGTGTGTTGCCTCTGCACGCGCAACTGAAACAGGCACTGGAGCTCCCAAGCACATTAGAACATCCATCACGTCCTCCCAATCCAACACAGCTATGCCAGAACACCCAATGTGCCCTTCCCATCCAACACAGCTACACAGAGACACCCGTCACATTGTTCCAGTGTAATGGTGCGTTGGATTGGAACGGTCATCTCACCCTTCTAACCCAGCACAACTACACCTGGAGATGCATCACACCCACCAGATCCAAGGCAGCTACACCAGGACAGTCATCACACCTTTCTGATTCAACACAGCAACACCAAGAGAGTCATCCCAGCTTTCCAGTGCAACACAAGTACACTGAGACATCCATCACGCGCTTCCAATCCAACACAGCTACACTAGGACAGCCACCAAGTCCTTCCAATCCAACACACGTACACCAGGACACCCCTCACACCCTTCTGACCCAATGCAGCTACAGCAGGACAGTCATCTCACCTTCCAATACAGCACAGCAGCGTGGGGGTTTCCACCCTAACCCGCTGAACTACAGCTGGTACTTTTTCTCTCCCTACGGTGCACACAGAGAATGCGTTGGCAGCGAAACATAGTTGCCAGAAAAGGAAATTAAAAAGTAACAACGTAGTGGGCCGCGCGAGTAAACACGGACAAAGAACGCTTCCCACAGAAGTATCTTTCACCTCAGCTTTTCTGCCGTGAACGGCAACTCTCATTTTGACAGGTTTCACGACGATGCGAAACGGTGCGAGGCGTCCCATTCCCAACGCGTTGGAACCCACGAGAGCCCCGAGGCTCGGCTTCCATCCCAACACCCGTCGCATCCCCGGCGGGGCGGAGGCGTGCAGGGGGCGGCAGGAGAGCCCAGAGCCCCGTCACCGCTACAGCCTCACCTCGGCGCCGGGCTGCCTTTGTGAGACGGCAACAAAACAAGCAGCCCTGACCAAAAAAAAGCATCTAAAACCGGATGAATTTCGAACTATGTTATTATGTAACCAAAACATCAGCTGGAAGAGTCGACCACGAGGCGTCGGACTCCCGCGGTGCCGCGGGCTCCCGGTCGCGCTGCGGGGCAGCGGGGACAGGAGAGGAGCGCCGGCGGCACGAACCCGGTCCCCGGCCCCTGAGGGCCGCCCCCCGCCCGCCCCGAGCACCGCGGGTGCCCACAGCCTCCCGCCCCCTCGCACACCTGGGCAAATCCCGAAGAACGACACAACAAGGAGCTATTGAGGCGATGAACCGCCCGTGGCGATCACCGGCGCGCGGCGAGCACAGAAGCGCAAAGCTGCGCTCGCTCCTCGCCGCAGGGCTGAGGGGAACTTCCCCTCGGCGCCGCACCGCCCGAGCGGGGCCGCCCCGAGACCCTCCGAGCTCAGCCCCGGCTCCCTCGCTCCGAGCGGGGCCCAGCAGCGGGCAGGGAGCGGCGGCGGCGCTGCCGGGCGGCGCCGGGAGCCTCGCACAAAGAGCGCGGGGGCACCGCGACCGCGGACACGCGCGGGGAAGGGGGCGCGGGACGGGGACGGCCCCACGGCCTCACCTGGGACATCTGCGGGCGCAAGTTGATCTCCTTGAGGTTGATGGAGTGGCTGCGCAGGTTGTTGAGCAGCTGGCACAGCAGCACGCCATCGCGCAGCGTCTGCGCCAGGTCGAAGACCTGGGCCGTGTCCCAGGTGACCCGGTGGTTGGGCGGCAGCACCTTGCAGCTGATCAGCCACTGCCCGCACTGCTTCCACGGCTCCATCGCCGCCACGCTGCGGCCGCGGCGGCCCCCGCTGTGCCCTCCGCCGCCGCCGCCGCGGCGGCCGGCCCGGCCCGCCTCGCGCCGCCCCGCCCCGGCCCGCCCCGTCAGGCGGGGCCCCACCGCCCCCTCGCGGGGGCTCAGGTGCGTCCGCGCGCGATTCCGTACCGGGTCCGGCTGTGCGCGGCCCCCGGGAGCGCGCCGGGTAAAGCAGCCGTGAGGCGCGGGGGGCGGCAGGTGCCGCTCAGCAGCTCCGGCAGCGCTGCTTTTCCAAGCTCTGCCCCGCGTTTCTATTTTGTACGTATCTTACATCATATTACAAAAAATAGCGCGACGAGCACTCAGGTAACTCCAAGTAAAAAAATATGCCAAGAATTAAGTTACTAAAAATGACTTTAACCACTTCCATCTCTCCCCTCGCCCCCCCCTAAAAAAAAACCCTCACACTACAACCACCACAGTTTGCATTGCTCTCCACGTCCGAATTTCTAAAGCTGTTCTTTTGGCTTCTTTAGCTGTGCTGGAAAGTCGATTGCTCTTAAAAGAGGTCAGTTAACAAGATCCAAAAAAAAACAAAAAAAAACACACCACACAGCCTGGGGTGAGTGGAGTGAGAACATTTTCTGACAGAGAGCACAACCAGTACTGCCCACAGCTGCCCTCAATGTCCCAGCGCCCAACACTCACTGCGCAGCAAGCAACTGCCCCTAGAGCTGCTAGTGGTTACTCTAACAACAGCACCCATCTCCCATCTGCTAGGGATGCAGCCCACAGCATGATGAAGCCCTTGCACAACACATACATCCCAGCAGACTTAAGGTACTGCCTCACGATGCCACAAGCAGCAGGCCCACTATCCAGGCATCTCCCCAGGCAGGAAAGTCCTTTTACTTCAGATCAGGAGTGCAAGGTTACACGGCAAAGAACTGCCTCCCCCACACGAGCAATTCCCTGCCTGCATCAAAAGGGATTGAAGTTAACAACCCACCATGGTTTGGTTATCATCACCCATCAGATTGAACAGCAGAGCTGTTTGATTGAGAATAAAAAACTGCCCAGGAGTAAGGCTTATTTATTTATCTGTGGCAAGTTAAACATCAAGTGGCAAGCAAGTAAACACTGCATGGTGCCCACAGCCATCCTCCTCAGGCCCACAGCAGACATAACTCTGACAACAAACCAGAGCACAGCAAAGCAAACAAGCCAACACAAGAAACAAAGCTATGTGCACCACATTACACAGCATCCACAGCCTGGCCCCAGCCAGGCTCAGCAGCACAGCAGCAGCTGAAAGCAGCATGGAGTGAGAACACAGGGCACAGGAGAGCAAGCGTGACTCTAGGACACAGCAGCCACAGCAACAGCACCTGGGTGCTCATCTGGAACAAATCACTGCACTTGGGTAACGGGAGCAGTCCAAGCTTCAAACTCCAAGCTTTCCAGCTTGAGTTAATTGTTTTTAACTACCATCTAACAAATCTGCTTTGTGGTCCCACACTGCTCATGAGCTCTTGCACTGTTTTTAAAGATTACATTTCACTCAAAATATAGGATAAAGCACAAGAAAGAATAAAAACACTCTCAGCCAGTGCCATCCCTTCAGATATGGCAAGATGATGGATTTGACCACGTTCAGGAATACTAATGGGAATTTGTTGAAAATAGAATAATAAAAGCCACCACCATGCCACAGCCACTCATTTGTACTGGGTGAAGCATCTCTGTGCTCACTGCCCATACCTGCACTGAGTGAAGCTTAGCAAAGGCACTTGAAGCTTGCTCTAGATTCATGTGGAGAAGAATCCACATCTCTACAGCAATCCCAGAAAGTCAGCTGCCTGCAGAGTTACATGGAGGAGAGGGAAGAAGGGGCAAAGCAGAGCTGTAGCCCAAACTCAAGCTCAGCACAGCCCTGCCAAGAGCAGCAGGCTGGCCACTGCTGAGGAACGAGATAGGCACAAGTTCACTGTTCTCCTCTTGAAATACTAACTTCAGCCTACTTCAATTTCCTACATTGTCCACACTGGAAGTTTGAGCTATTTCCTCATTCTCCAGTACCAGACCAGTTGGAGTGCCCCAGAGGCAGCAGGAGGAATGGGTTGGAAGCCATGGCAGCCATCTCCTCCACCAGCACAGACTGACACTCCCAGACCTTAACAGCGAGGGCTACATTTCAGTCGCTCAAAAAAGCCCAGGGTGTTTTACATACTGCCTCCCCATGCCAGCCCCAGCACATTACTAAGCTATTCACTGAAGTGGTTTTGTCTTTAGATTCTTATAAAGAAACCAGTAACATTTTGGGCTTTCATTGCCGCATTCATAGCACTGCAAAGCAGCCACAGAAATCCAAAACTAAAAATAATTCCATAAAAAAACAAGTCTGAAGGAGAACTGTACACAAAAGTGCACCCAAAAGGAGCTTTTGCATATTTTTTGTTTCCTTCCAGGAGACAACTGTCTCCTTGCTGGAGACATCACCATAAATTTGTTTTCTTTACTTTTTACCCTGTGCTGCATCCTGTGAAAGTGTCAGCTTTCCAGCTCCTCCCTTGTTATTTTATTGAGAGAAACTCGATTTGCTTTATAAGCTATTGGTTCTGGCTCTTAAGGTTTTCCTGCCTTCTGACGACAGCTCTAAGCACACTGTTGAATAATACAGAAAGTGGTGCAAGCTGAAGCGAAGCGCTGCCTTCATTCGTGGGTGCTAAACGCCCGCACACTGCCTAAGCACTGAGCTCGCACTCCGCATGTCTCAATTAGACCCATTTCATTATACTGGCAAGAAAACGCAGTTACATGCAGGCTGCAAAAGTATAGAAATATACAGTCTTTGTTTCAGCCATTCATATCACTGTCCTGCTTGGAAATGCATTGGGCTAATGTGGCTCCTGGCCAAAAGCTTCCCTTGAGCTGTGCTTTTTTTTTTTTTTTATCTGGAAGTGAATAATCAGGAGGTGGCCAGTGTCCAGCATTTCTCAAGTAGCCTGCTCACCTCGCAGCAAAAGAAAATAAGGCTGAGATCGCTGACCAGCACTCTTCAGTAATTGGCCTGCCACTGAAATGGATGTGGATCAGGAGCTCTGGGTGCACCAGGCTGTGTCCAACAGCCCTTGGTTCCGGCTTCAGGACTGCTCTGCTAACTTTGTGGCAGAAAGCAAACAAGTGCTGCTGCTTTTAATTGATCGGTTCTTAATTATTTGTTAACGTTACCATGAAAAGCCTTAAGCTGCATTGGATAGGTAAAAACAAACAAAAAAAAAAAACTTCTAAATTAACAAATCAATCTGACTATAAGCGTTACAATTTGCTTTAAAAACCTAACTCAAGTTTGCATAGAAATAATCATAGTGGTTGAAATCCATGTGAAACACCGAAAACAAAAAAATCATAAGTAAAACAAGCAGCTGGAAGGATGCATGGGACTGAATATAACAAGAACTAGGACTGCATTTACCTTTCAGTGGAGACCTGAGGTATGTGGGCCGTCAGTAAGTAGATAGTAATAAACTAAGAGAAATTCTAAGAGCCAGCTAACACCAAGAGAACACCAAGATTCCTGGTTTATTATAAAATTGCTTCAATGTGCAGAATGTGTTTGCACGTTTGAGGAATCTATGAGTCATATTGCAAGGGAATAGCCATCTAAACCAGTCAATGTCAAAATAAGATGTTAAGTTAGCTGCCTGGATCCAACAGCTATCTGCCAAATTATCAACTTAAACCATCATTTTCAACTCTACTTCCCCCTCCAGATATTTGCTTTCTATTTAAGTCAACAGAAGTCTGTCAGATTATAGTAGGTCCCAAATACAGTATTTACTGTGTAGATACTCACATATAACCCTTCTAAAAATATTCATACAAAGGGACCAAAAATATGTTGCCTCTTTGACCTGAGAAGAGAAGGATGCAACTGCCAACATGCAGTCATTACATTCCTCAAGTCTTAGTAGATCCAGCTCAATTTCCTTAGACTTCGTTGATGTCACTAAGCAATATGTACCTTCCTTATCCTTTCCTTTACTCTATCTCCATTTCTTGTCTTCAATACATTGTTCTCAACAGTCTCATCTTGTTACTTAATGCAAAGTCAGATCAGATGACAAGGTTATGGGATAATGAAAATACCTCTTTTCACTCAACACAGAGGGAAAGGAGATGCTGACCAAAGTAGTTTCCATGATCCCAGCTGACAAGGAAGCAATACATTTATGAAAGGTTGAGGTGACCAAGATACAAATGCAGAAAGCTAGAAACCAGCAGGAAGAAAGCCCTAAAACACAGAAAAGTACTTTTTGTGTGCTGTTTGTGCATAGTGTTTGTGTGTTTGTTTCCATAGTTTGTACAAAACCCAGAATCCAGAAAGATCATCTATATCTTTGGATGAAGGCATCAATTGCTGCAACTGTAACATTCGCAGGAAGATCAGATGGGAAGACATTTGTATATAAGGAGAGTCAGAGAAAAATTCTCACATTAAAAAAAAAAAATCCCCAACTCTAAAGCTGGGAAAAATTGAAAAAGACTATGCATGAAATATCTACTCAGAGTCAAAGAGCAGAGCAGTATTTATCATGCTATTACTTACCAATTTTTATTCAAAATTATAGTATTAGGCAATTGAACTTCTCATATCTTATTGTCAAAATTTCTTTCAGTCTCTCATCTCCTGCTGCGTTAACTTTTACAGCAAATAGGACAGCCATATATAACCTCTAAGACCCTGTTCTGTTTTTTTACTGAGTGTCAGATGTATCTATATGCTAAAGAGTATTTGCTAAATAAAAGCTTCCTTATATGCTTACAAGTAAAAAAATAGTAAAAAAAAAACTGTAGAGTTTATTTTTAAAGATGACAGCAGGCAAGGTATTTGTAAGAGCTTCAGTAGGCACCTCCAGTGTTACCATGCTTCTGTCTCCTCAAGAATAAAAAATACTTATATTTCAGAACAGGACGCTGCCTACTTTGTTGATGAGAGTTCTCAGGTACTGTTCATCTAAAAACATGGACAAACGCTAGACTGCAGATCAGCTGATGCTAACATATTAGGGATCTC